GCGATATTTGAATTATGAAAAATATAGGAAAGAACAAGTATTATGTGGAATTTAATATAATATAATTATCTTTTTAATGGCTAAGATTAGGATAGATGCATGTAAAAAAGTTAATTACTTACCACTACCTCGGACATACTCTCAACTTTTTTGAATTTAAATAAGACGACGTGTCTTCCAGTTCCCGCAATAGCTAATTTCCGACTTTCGGGGCAAAGGAAGATGAGTTGTATCGCTAAAGGATCTTCCTCCGAATCTAAACTACGCGTTCTACCTTTTTCAAAAAGTTTCGCTGTCTTTAATTTATAAAGAACTTGCAATGTGCCTGCTGACGCATCCCAAAATTTTATACTGCCATCAGCGTGTCTGAAAAAAAAATATATTTATTATTATTGCGTCTTCTATAAAAATTCTCGTATCGAGAAGAGAAATAAATTTTAATCAAGATAAATCTGATTCTTCTTTCAAATCCTGTTTTCTCAAAACTTGCACTCACCCAGTCAAAATAATTTCATTGTAACCACTGGAGCTTGAGCTCCATTCGCCACCAGATATTGGCCAATCCTTCTCGCTGAACCCCGTCTTTTTCTGGGACTTCGACCCAACCGAATAAAATGCTGGCACTAAATCTGATGGACAGTCCGCGAAATACGCGCAACACGTGACGGGTGATTCGTGTATGTCCATTGGATATGGATTTTCGAAACACGGAAATCCGGGAGTTAATAAATCTATCACAACCAAGTCGTTTTGTAACAGAACCACAACGGCGTATGGATCTTGATAATCTGTACAGAAACAGAAGAGATTAATATTATAAGGATCATTCGTGAATTCAAGAAAAATGAAGAATTACAAACAGAATGGTAATGGAATCTTATTGTCAATTATATCTTATTATCTTATCGAGAATTATTATACGTTACTTTTATACACAATTATAAAAAATTTGATATAGAAACGAAATAGTGAATCTAATAAAAAGAACATTTGCTTGGAAAATCATCTTAAATTTTTTAAGAATAATTGATGTAAAAGAAATTGATTTATATATTTATATTAATATATACCACTGGTCCATGGATTTTCGCAGAGTGTTATAAAGTCTATCACATTGTGCTCCATTTCTAGTACAGTGGTAGTTTTCCCATGTATCACCGTTATACTTGGAGTTCGTCCAGTTGTGTCGTACGCTAAACCACCGGAAAATATAACGTACGCTTCCCTAAATTAATCAGAACAGATTAGATTTCTTACATTTTTAATCGCGGAATAAAATAATAAAAAATATTTGTTCAAAAATAAAAATGGAAGAAATAATATATCTTACCCTGATCTTGAGAGCTTCCATTCAACCTTTTGTATAGGTTTACAAGGTTCTGGCTCGCCATCTTTCGTAGTTTTCGCTGTAATAAAATATGAAATGCATAACAATTTAAATAAAATAAAACTACTAAAATAAAAACTTTCAACACGTCATTACATAATTCGAAACATCCTTCGAATCGAAATAATGTTCTGCATGGATGGGATAGTTTATGATGATAAATACTTAGCGAAAATAAAGATATATATTTTGCATGTAAAAAAAAAAATAAAAGGAGAAAATTTCTTACCGTGTGGATGCGTTACATTCGTTGGCTTTAATTGACGCACCGTCCACGTCGACAGGGAGCCATCGGTGTGACTACACATAAATTGTTTACCCTCGTGGTGCCAAGATATCGATCTTAAGGGTACGTCGCTTTGGCATCTATAATCTGCATTTTTCGTCTTCAAGTCCCAAAAAACTATTTGTCCCGTCTCATATCCTATCAGCATCTGAAATCAAAGATTAAACGGATGATAAAAAAAGGTATCTTGGACAAGATAATATAATTTATCTTGCGAATACCTATTCTAAGAAAAAATGTTACATATATATATTAATTTTAATAATAAAAAATCTCATTTTCATAATACATTGATATAATTTATAATACAAATTACGTACACACAACAAGAACAAATATGAAGATATGTAGTGCGGAATGAGTCACAAAATTTTAATATTATTTTAAATGCAACAATTGATGACTTCTTTGAAATTGTATTGTGTTGAATTGTATTTAATTATGAATTGTAATATGAGTAATATATATATATAAATGGACGGCACAATGGAATATAAAAAATAATTTAATGCCGTTCTTATATTTCCTACTCATATATATTTCACGATTTGTTAAAATTAAAATTCTATTTTCATGAGTGAAATTTAAATTAAACGAAATCACATACAAGAATTTATTTTATTCGAAAATATTAATATTAATAATCGAGAGAAAATGACGATATATTGTTATTATTTTTACGCACGAATTCAATCTACGTACGCATAAGTGCATATCTGTAAACATATGCATGTGAATGAATAATACGTGTATATTATATCTCTTTCTTTTCTTCTCTAGATATCAGATGTCTAGATACAATTATGAAGTACACGTTGTCTATTCTGTTCCAGGATTCACTCAAGATATAGAAAAAAAAATCATGCCATTGAAGTCACTTTTTGTTTTATCCCGATATCTCAATCGGTCACCGAGATAAAGATAAAGACTCGAAGTGTCCGCAATGCTTAAGACGGTGTAAAGATTATGGGCCCGCTGAATCCAGTGACCTATATTTTTCTATCTGGGAACGAGTACTACAGTTTTTCGCATCTGTCATTTGTCTACAGTTAGAATAGATGCGAGCGAAAGCGACCGAGTAAGCGACGAGGACGAAGATAGTAAACGATTAAAAATTACTCTTTTCTTCGCGCTAAAATATTTCGGTAACCGAAAATCGTATCGAGATAAATGAAAAAGCGTTTTAAAGGACAAAGTTTCGCGATTCTAACGACCCTTTATCCATTGATCGGGAATCTCTGTGTTTAAAGTTATAGCGATCCAAATTTCTCCTAATTTTAATAACCTAGTTTTAATCGGGTTTAAGGTAAATGATTAAAAATTACCTTTTCTTTATGCGACGATATCTCGGGAACAGGAAGTCGTATCGAGATAAATGAAAAGGCGTTTTAAAGAGCAAAGTTTGGCGCTTCTAATGGTCTTTCATCCATTGATCGGGAAACACTATCTTCGGAATTATAGCGGTTAAAGTTTTTCTTAATTTTAATACGATTTCATCGAGTTTTAAAATAATTTGTACGGGTAGAATATATATATACCATCTTATTATTAATGATGAGTTTATATATTTTAAATTTATTTTAAAAATTATCTTAATGCTTTGCTTGAAGTTGGATTTTTATTTAATCCATCTAATTCGAGTTTATCTGTGTTAATTAATCTAAGAAATTTTATGAGTTTCGTAGTTTTCCTTTCTAGATTTATATGAATTAAACTGTTCGTATGTTCTTTCTTTCTCTATATTTGTTCATATAGGGAAATTTATTGATATTTATTTTCGATATATTCTTAATTAAAAATAGTTAATCAAAAATAAAGCCGAAAATATAATGTTTTTTCTATTTTATTCTATTTTCGTTTCAAATTATCCCTTAAATTTTTAGATAACAACATTTATTGCTAAACATATAATTATTCGTGTAAAATACGCAAAACATATGCAATATGAAAAATGTGTTTGCATAAAAATCTTTACATAGATTGGAATGATCCCATGAAATGAGATACAGAAATTTTAATATTAAAAAATAAAAACCAGTCCAATTTACATAATATACATATGTATATAGATATATTAATTCTGATATCAATATAATTATATTAATGATGAGCTTGTGTAAAATGTATAAAAAGATGAGTGATCATGATTGCGAGATAAACTTTTATTAAGCTCTTTATATATTCTGTGACTAACGCAACACCATTATGCATTGTTAAAGCGATATAAATGTAATGGGATTTAAAAATGCAAACGAAAAGAAGATACGATGCATTTTAATTATATAATTAATTAAAATAAATATTTATGTCTAAATAAAAAAAAAAAAAAAAAAAAAAAAAAAAAAAAAAAAAAAAAAAAAAAAAAAAAAAAAAAAAGAAAAGAAAAGGAAAATTATAAATTCAATCGTAGAGAACGATTGATAAATATCGATGAATCGACGAATATATACGTTTAAATTTATATTTGCATTTTCGTTGCGAATATTTTACAATATATAATTAAAATGCGAATAAGTTTAAATAAAAATTAAACAATTACCACAAAAAAGAAAAACTAATTTTCGTCGCATTGATATATCGAATAAAAATATAAAAAATTATCCCATTACTTTTCCATCTGCATAACACACGTATTAGTAACAAATTAAACGATACGATATTCTATCAGAAAGAAATAATTTCGTTAAATCATTTTGTACGACAGTAATAGCATGCACGCATGCACACACACAACATGCAAGCACTTCACACTTCTTCAGTCTTGTTACAATCAACACCCTAAAGAAGGATTTATAAAAAATGTTAAAATGAATCTTGAGAATATATATATATATATATATA